AGGATCTGATCGTCATAGTCTTAGTCCATGTGTTGTCCCTGTTTGTTGACCCCTAAGAAAGATGGCTCTTGGAGAATGTAAGTTAATAGTCGTGTCATTAACAAAATTATAGTCAAGAATCATTTCCTATACCGAGACTTGAATATATGCATGACCTTTTAACCGGTGCACTTTGATTCTCCAAAATTGATTTGCGCGGTGATTATCATCAAATTCGAATTAGACTAAGAGGTGAATGGAAAACTGCCTTTAAAACCCAAGATGGACTTTATGAGTGGTTGGTCATGCCTTTTGTATTGTCTAATGCACCTAAAAAATTTATAAGGATTATAACTCACATACTGCATCCTTTCCTAGGGAAATTTGTGGTGGTCTTTTTTGATGGCATCATGATCTTCAGTCGGTGTAAAGAAGAATTATCTTCGACAGTTTTGCAGGCATTACGTGTGAAAAANATCCTAGGGAAATTTGTGGTGGTCTTTTTTGATGGCATCATGATCTACAGTCGGTGTAAAGAAGAATTATCTTCGACAGTTTTGCAGGCATTACGTGTGAAAAAATTCTATGTGAACATTAAGAAGTGCTCCTTTATGCAAACTCAAGTATTTTTCCTTGAATTTGTTATTTCTACGTATGATATTGCAGCTGACCCAGAGAAAATTAGTGCTATTAAAAATTGGTCAGAGCCAAGAACAATTTTTGAAGTTCGAAGCTTTCATGTCTTGGCCACCTTCTGTAGACAATTTATTAAGGGGTTAGTTCCATTATGGCTCCCATNCCAGAGCCAAAAATAATTTTTGAAGTTCGAAGCTTTCATGTCTTGGCCACCTTCTGTAGACAATTTATTAANTCAGAGCCAAGAACAATTTTTGAAGTTCGAAGCTTTCATGTCTTGGCCACCTTCTGTAGACAATTTATTAAGGGGTTAGTTCCATTATGGCTCCCATCACGGAGTGCATGAAAAAAGGGGAGTCTCAATGGACTCTTGCTGCAGTTAGAGTCTTTAAAGAAGTTAAGCACAAGATAACATTGACACTTGTCCTTTGACACCCAAATTTTTCTAAGGTGTTTGAGGTTACTTGTGATGCATCTGGTGTAGGGATAGATGGAGTTTTGAGTCAAGAGGGTCATCCTATTGCTTTACTTCAGCAAAAAACTCAATGAAGCTAAACAATGATATTCTACATATGAAAAAGAGTTCCATGCTGTTGTGCAAGCTCTCTGTCATTGGAGGTATTATCTATTGTCATATGAGTTTGTGTTATATTCTGATCATCAGGCATTGAAATACTTTCACTCCCAGAGAAAATTAAGTATTTGGCACGTTAGGTGGGTTGAGTTCCTTCAGTAGTATACTTTTGTTCTTCACCACCGAGCAAGCATTGAAAACAAGCTTGCAAATGCTCTTAGTCATGTAGTTTCTATTTTACAGACTATGAGCGTCCATGTGATCGGATTTGAGAGGATTAAAGATGAGTATGCCTCTTGTCCTGACTTTGGTATTATTTTTTAGAATGTTTAGGCTGATAATTGACACGAGTACATTAACTTCATCATTAGAGATGGTTACTTATTTAACGGGTCGCGACTATGGATTCCCCATACTTCACTTAGGAATTTCCTAATTTGGGAATTACATGCGAGAGGTCTAGAAGGACACTTTGGTAGGGATAAGACATTTGTATTTGTTGAGGATATATTTAATTGACCCACTTTGAGGCGTGACATTATTAGGATAATGTCATAGTGTCACACTTGTCAGTGAACAAAGGTAAGGAAACAAAACACTGGATCGTACACACCATTACCAGTTCCACACACACCATGAAGAGACCTTAGTATGGACTGTCTTAGGATTGCCTAAACCAGTCTGTAGTCATGATTCCATTCTAGTTGTCGTGGATCGATTTTTTAAGATGACCCATTTCATTCCTTATACTAAGTCTACTGATGCCTCACATGTAGCAAAGTTATTCTTTAGAGAAGTCGTCTGACTACATGGGTTGTCTATTTCCAATGTGTCTGATAAGAATGTCAAGTTTGTGAGTTATTTTTGAAAAACACTTTGAAAGCTCTTTGAGACTAGTCTTAAGTTTTCTTTTGCTTTTCATCCTCAAACTAATGATCAAATTAAAGTTGTCAATCATAGATTGAGAGATTTACTTAGGTGTCTAGTGGGTGAGAAGCTGAGAAATTGAGATTTGTTGTTGCCTCCTGCTGAATTTGCTTAATAACAACTTCGTCAATAGATCGATTGATAAATCCCCTTTTGAGATTGTTTATGGCCATTCCCCTAGACAGTCTATTGACTTACTATCTTTACCTCCGGATTCCCGCCCTTCACACTCCGCCGAAACTTTTGCCTAGCACATTCGTGACTTACATGTCGACATAAGACAGAAAATTACATTAAGTAATGAGAATTATAAATTGACGGTTGATGTTTACCATAGGAATAAAGAACCAACTATGAGAGATTATGTCATGGTTCGTGTGTGTCCTAAACGTCACCCTAAAAATTCTTTCAAAAAATTACATGCTCGAGCCACTTACCCAAGGATCAAAATGTCGTGTCGACACGTCCGAAACGTTTCGGAATTTCAACACTCCGAAACGAAACAGTAGTTGAATCACAAAATTCCAGTGTTTCGGTCGAAACGGTACTGTTTCGGACCGTTTCGGTCGAAACGGCATTGTTTCGAACCGTTTCGACCGAAACAGTACCGTTTCGACAAAACAGTGATATATTCGGTTCATTATGAATAATTACATTTAATACCCCATTATAATTACATTTAATACCCACTGTAATTACATTTAATACTCACTATAATTATATTTAATATCCCACTATAATTACATTTAATTCCCACTGCTCTTCTGTCTTTTATAATTTTTTTGTTATAAGAATAAATAATTACACTTAATACCCTACTATAATTATATTTAATACCCATTATAATTATATTTAATACATACTGTAATTATATTTAATACCTCACTGCTGTGCAAGTTTTTTGCNGAGTTCCTTCAGTAGTATACTTTTGTTCTTCACCACCGAGCAAGCATTGAAAACAAGCTTGCAAATGCTCTTAGTCATGTAGTTTCTATTTTACAGACTATGAGCGTCCATGTGATCGGATTTGAGAGGATTAAAGATGAGTATGCCTCTTGTCCTGACTTTGGTATTATTTTTTAGAATGTTTAGGCTGATAATTGACACGAGTACATTAACTTCATCATTAGAGATGGTTACTTATTTAACGGGTCGCGACTATGGATTCCCCATACTTCACTTAGGAATTTCCTAATTTGGGAATTACATGCGAGAGGTCTAGAAGGACACTTTGGTAGGGATAAGACATTTGTATTTGTTGAGGATATATTTAATTGACCCACTTTGAGGCGTGACATTATTAGGATAATGTCATAGTGTCACACTTGTCAGTGAACAAAGGTAAGGAAACAAAACACTGGATCGTACACACCATTACCAGTTCCACACACACCATGAAGAGACCTTAGTATGGACTGTCTTAGGATTGCCTAAACCAGTCTGTAGTCATGATTCCATTCTAGTTGTCGTGGATCGATTTTTTAAGATGACCCATTTCATTCCTTATACTAAGTCTACTGATGCCTCACATGTAGCAAAGTTATTCTTTAGAGAAGTCGTCTGACTACATGGGTTGTCTATTTCCAATGTGTCTGATAAGAATGTCAAGTTTGTGAGTTATTTTTGAAAAACACTTTGAAAGCTCTTTGAGACTAGTCTTAAGTTTTCTTTTGCTTTTCATCCTCAAACTAATGATCAAATTAAAGTTGTCAATCATAGATTGAGAGATTTACTTAGGTGTCTAGTGGGTGAGAAGCTGAGAAATTGAGATTTGTTGTTGCCTCCTGCTGAATTTGCTTTATAACAACTTCGTCAATAGATCGATTGATAAATCCCCTTTTGAGATTGTTTATGGCCATTCCCCTAGACAGTCTATTGACTTACTATCTTTACCTCCGGATTCCCGCCCTTCACACTCCGCCGAAACTTTTGCCTAGCACATTCGTGACTTACATGTCGACATAAGACAGAAAATTACATTAAGTAATGAGAATTATAAATTGACGGTTGATGTTTACCATAGGAATAAAGAACCAACTATGAGAGATTATGTCATGGTTCGTGTGTGTCCTAAACGTCACCCTAAAAATTCTTTCAAAAAATTACATGCTCGAGCCACTTACCTTTTCGTATTTTTCGTAAGTTTAGACCTAATGCATATCACCTTGACTTACATTCAAATGACAATTAGTCTTATTTTCAATGTGGAGGACTTGTTTCCTTATCATGGTNTTTTCGTATTTTTCGTAAGTTTGGACCTAATGCATATCACCTTGACTTACATTCAAATGACAATTAGTCTTATTTTCAATGTGGAGGACTTGTTTCCTTATCATGGTTCTTTTGAGCCTTCCATGTTGCCCGCAAGTGTTCCTACAGATGGAGTCGCTTCGTCATCAGCATCACCTACAATTCCTGTTCTTCCACTATTTCCACCACAGCTGCATGACCAAATTGCAGATGTATTTGAGGATCAGATTGTTAGCTCCTTGGATGGAGGGCATCGTTGTTATCTTGTTTGGTGGGGAGACCATCCAGAGACTGATGCTTCATGGATTACGGAAGAGGAGTTTTGTCGATTTAACCCTGATCTTCTAGAGCATTATCATGATCGTATCTCACTGGAGACGAGTTCTTTTTAGCCAGGGGAAAAATGATAAAAATCAGATTGTATTTCGTTGTAGCAGTAGCAGACGCAGACGCATGAATTAGAAATTATTTGTCATTTTGCTTTTCAGGGGCTTAATTGTCTTTTTTACTATTTATTTGCTTTAGGGTTTGTACTCCCCATATGTATATATAGGAGATATGGTAGTTGTTTTTGGGGGACTTTTGATTATTATTGAATATTGATAATGCTTCCTTCTCAAATTCTTTCTCTTTTCTAATTATTTTCTTCTTCTCTTCTCATCCCTTTCTTCTTCTCTCCTTCATCCCTAATTCTTTTCCTTTCTAATCTTCATCACATACCCATACCACTTACCAATCAACACAGAATCCAAGTAACATTGGTTCAATCAATAGTGAGTGCGTGGTGCTCCTGGTTGGGTTCATTGCCATGGTGATTTTTGCACCTAGGTGGTTGGGTGGTTCCAGGAGTGGGGTGGTGATGTTGAAGTGCAGGGGGATAGGGAGAGAGAAAGAGTGACTGGGAGAGAGGTTCTCTCAAATATCTCAACAACTTCATGTTACTGATTAGGGTGATGGTCTGGGTGGGAGGGGAGCTTGGCTTCTAGAGGCGGGCAAGGGTTTCATGGGGAAAAAGCATAAAAATGGTATTGAAAAAAGCATTGCTATGCCATCAGCATTTCTCATTTTGTTAGTAACAATTAGGAGATCTAGATGGAGTGGACATATAAACTAAAGGGAGTGCAGTGAAATTTCAAATAATGCAAGAGGTGTCTTTCAAGTTATGGTGAACTTTAGGCGTTATGGATGAAAGTTACCGGACTTGACCATAATCAAAAAATAGGCCTTGAAGAAGGGTTTTACTAGTGAACTTTAGCCTAAATACACTTCATTTTCAGGAAGTTAAAAGCGCGTTTGATTCCTCAACTCAACAGCTTGAATAACAATTTAGTCCAACAAGGTTCATGTCTAATACAAAACAAAGAATTCACAAAGTTGATCTGATTTTTGTTTACCTCCCATCCATCCCAAGAATTGCAACTGTGTTCTTTTCGTGGCCAAAGGCAACAGTGTATTGACAACCTTCATGCAAGCGAAACTGAGCCACCGACCACTCTGAGCTGAAATACTTTGGCAGCACACCTGCACAAAAGTGTTTGAGATGTCAAAACTCAATCCTATTGCACATGTCAAATTACCATTTTCTAGATGTCTTATCCAATAGTTGATTTTGCTGGATAATTCCTGCACGCTTAACAAGACCCTTTTGAGTAAAAAGCCTGGAGGGAATTCTCCTAAAATTTAAATGGCAGAGTACAAACATTAGCTTAGACTTGTGGCTGTATTGAACATGGTGGATCCACGAATTTGTAGGTCAGATCCTCAAGTGAATAAGCTGACAGTTGCAAGGTTCAAATCTTTAGTCAAGACTAGGTTGGCATGGTCAAATGAATCAGAACTGAAGGCACCAAAACAATACCAAGTCACTGTACAAAAAGGGCTATGTGGGGCGAACCTGTAAGAAGCTACCCAGTTAGTCAAAAGATACAAGACTACTTGGATGGATTGACTCTGTATTGTGATCCACTTGGCAGGATCAATATTAAGACTACCCTTTTTGAATGCTGCTGAACCAAAAACATTCAACAACCAAGTTATTGTCTTGGCAAGTGCACGCAAACATACAGCATAGCTGAACACAGTTGAACCTCAAGAGATCAAAAGACTAATAAAAAGAATCAAGCCTTAAATATTTGGGTGCTTTAATTCCACCAAACACCCACAAAGAGGATGTTTTCTCCATGTAATTTTGAGTGTCATGCATGAAGTATGCCTGCTTCTGGATTTGCAAAATGTTGATAAGGATAACAGTTGGAACATAAGATGAGAAAGAGAGTGAAGGTAGATAGGTCCATTGGGATGGCGCCGAGATAAATGGTGGCAATGATGATGGTGACAACAATGATGAACAGGCCTGTATCTATTTATCTTAGCTTGCACCATATGTTTTTAACTGCTGTTATTCTAACCACTCAACAGAGACACAGAATTCGACCTGTCACTGAATATTGACCGTTACCTTGAAATCCCTCACAAAAATCTCCAGTGCTCAAATTAAATTTGTTCATCCCAATATAGTTCTAGACATTTTACAGGTATACTACCTTTAATGAAGGAGAGATGTGAAATAGCTGATGGAGTTGAGAAACTCTGTTCGGATGCACCACGTGATCTTTCAACCACTAATGACCCCGAATCCACCTTTAGGTTGAAAACGTGGACAGTTCCTTTATCACTTGAAGCGGCCAGCCATTGGGCAGTCGAAGAGAAAGCAAGGCTGTAAATCTCTGCTCTATCTGCACCTCTCCTAACCTACATTGATGTCTCAAACTTTAGGACAGGAACGTCCAGAAGGAAAATGCATATTAGGATGGAAAATGTCACCAGTTGGTGGTAAAGAATACGAGCACCCAATTAATGCAATTAGCAAAGTTCATGAAATTAAAGAAAAAATTGTTCTTACTCCAGCAATCCTACTTGAAAGATATTTGAAACACTCTTCAGAGAAAAAAACTAGTCACATTTATTCAGAAAAAAAGAAATGGCATTTTAGAAGGAAATAGGTTCTTTCTCTTCATATTGTCTTCCAAACCTAAGCACACATACTTGTTGATATCCAAATCGATGTAATACATTCTCTCTTATGGAACTAAAAGCTACATCTACTGACGTGAAGAAATTATGACTCGTTACTAAAGCAAGAAATCAATTTCAAAACAACAAAAGTAACCGTCCACAAACATAACCATATTCCATAGAGTCCGAAGAAAGATGAGCGGCAAAACCGCATTCATTATTGGATATAATGGTACCTGACCATACAGAATAAAACATCTCAGGTTGCATAGAAGTTCAAAAAGGGTAACAAAAACCAAGGTCAAAAGAACAGCCGTCCATCTAAGGTAGGATGTTTGAGGGAAAATGAAAAGGCAAAAATAAAATAATATACCATTGTTTATGATCCAAGGCTCGAAGTCTTACTAGGATTTCTTCATTTTGTAAGTGCTGTTCCACAGTACACTTGTTATTGAAATTCACTAAAATGCAATGTGTGCACCTTAAGATCACAAGTTCTCTGTTTCATCTGTCCTTGACATCACAAAAGGCACGGGCACAATAGAACCAGACAATCTAAACAATAAATATGTACAATTGCAAATCATGAGAATTAAGCTTCAACTAAAACTGTAAACATTGGGGAAAAAAGGAACAAGAAAAATGCTTATTTTAGAAGCAAACCAGCACAATACTGAACATAAAAAGAGTTTGTTAGCCAGTATCAAATAATTATGACCACCCAAGATTGATTAATATTGTTTTATAATCTCTCCACCCATTGTCAGCATGCATGTTTGTCTATTTGTGTGTTAGCTCTACGTGCCAACAATGGTCCAGGGAGGGAATATAGAGAAATTGTATCACACTAAATTATTTGGTTCACCCAAGGTTGGTTTAGATGGTTTATATGGGCAAGGAGTCTCTCCATTCATTGTTACTTGGTTTTGAATTGAATGCTCCAACACTTGCTATAGATACTGGGAGGTTGGATCACATATCACACTCTGAATACAATATTTGAAATAAAACCATCAAACTGGTCCAAATGAAAATTTCACATGCCAAGATCCAATTTCAGCCAGCAAGGGATCCATAATTTTTTTGCTCAACCAAATATTATGCATATAACAAATAATGACTTACACAAAAATTATGTTCCTAACTTGCATTGGCATTCACATGCTTCCGAAGGGAAGAGGAATGAGGGGAAGGAAAACGATGCCTAAAGACAACAAATTGTGGATAAAAGCAGGATAGAGGTCTGGAGCTTTTCTGANAACACAAAAATTATGTTCCTAACTTGCATTGGCATTCACATGCTTCCGAAGGGAAGAGGAATGAGGGGAAGGAAAACGGTGCCTAAAGACAACAAATTGTGGATAAAAGCAGGATAGAGGTCTGGAGCTTTTCTGAAAGTTTCTAAGATGAGCAAGGAAAGGAAATGAATAAAGAATAAGGAAGAAGTGGCAGACAGGTGTTACCTCACCCATCTGTTGGTGTGTAACACCCTATTGCTGTGTATTTCAATAACAAGAGTCATGTTATGGACAAGCATATAAAACAGAAATGAACGAGAAGGAAGCAGGGAGAGGATGTCTCAAAAAGAGGTGAATATACAAGAAAAGGATGGAGAAGATGAGAGAATAAGAATAGTTCATATTTGTGAATGCTAGTGGCCACATTGCACCCACGCTACATCTATTTAAGGTAAGAGAAAGGGGAAACTGGGATGTTACATCTGTAGATTGCCTAAACAACATGGGTTTCGTGCATGTGCAACCATTGTTATCAAAATCGTACAATTCGATTTGAACGATTCGATTTAGTCCCCATTTGATTCGTATCTTACTATAGAATCGTTTTTGGCTGGGAATCGCACGAATTGTTTGATTTGATACGAACCATTCGATTAGATAAGAATCGAAGGAATCATACAACTCATTTTATTTTTTTTAAACCCTATTTCTAGTATTACATTGTTGCTTTGCTAAAATAGGTCCACCCCTAATTATAAAACTCGCGTCTCTCTATATCTCATGTTCGCGCCTCTACCTCTATCAGCGACTATTCAAGCATATGTGAACATCACACAAAAACGACGTCTCCTTTACTACAACTATGCTTCTTCTTCTTCAACAACATCTACCAAATCTTAACACACCATACATCTTCTTCAAAATATGCTCTGTTTTTTATTTTTCATCAATAATTTATTTTTCAATCANTTAACACACCATACTCTTCTTCAAAATATGCTCTGTTTTTTATTTTTCATCAATAATTTATTTTTCAATCAAATGTGAGAAGTGATTTTCTAAGTTTACATGTTGGAGTCAATATGGATTTTTCCTATTTTAGTAAACTTCATTGGTACCAGGAAGACAATAGATATTTCATCATGGTCATTTCCTATTCTTGTTCCAGGTGAATGTACTCAATTGTTTATTTTTAAAATACAATAATGTTCAATATTTAATATCTTGCCTATTTTAAATATATAGATATTTTTTTATCTTTATTCGAATTTTGTGTCAAATTTCGATTCAATACGATTCACAATTCTCAAATTTAGGATTTTGATTCCCGATAAGAATCTCGATTTGATAACTATGTGTTCAACAGATAAAAGTGTGAGTAACATAATAGTGTATTTAATAACAATAATACTTGCAATGCAGAGCCATAAAGAGATGTAATCGGCCAACAAAAGAGCCAAGGTTGACTAGCCATAGTGATGTTCAATGGTCAGGTAAGAAGTCCTTGTGCTGAGTTTTTGGATAATTTATGGCCCACATCTGAAATGAGTTCCAGATTCTCTTCATCAATTTGATTCTAATTCATTCATCAAAATATTTGTATCAGTTCGAATATATGGAGGGTAACCAGCACACAGCTGCAAGTAAGCCGCACATGACTGTGTAGACCATATAGATATGCACATATGTACATTTTTAGGTGACTTGGAAAAATGATTTAGTTGGTCTGTTTACTTGATATAAATATCCATATACTGTTTTCTCAAAGGTTGACTTTTGAGTTCATTAAATTGAACACACTGCATATGCTAAATTCTTGTGGTACCCAACGAAATACATGTGCCATGGAACCCAGGTTGCGTAATAACGAATGAATTGCACCGAATTCTTTGGTTGCTATGATTTGTTGAAAATTTTATTGGTAAAATATTAACACACATTGCTCAACTATTCATATTTAGAAGAAAGATCTCCTCTAGTGAGCACCCTTGAGTTTGGTGTTGAAAGTGCTTTGTATAGAAAATGTATGGCCTGGGAATTCATTTTATCAAGTTATTTTAGGTGAGTTTGCATGGTCTTTGCATTTGCATGGCATGTGCACTTATTGCATGGAGCAAGCATGTAAGTGACATGTACTTTGATTGATGGTTGTTGCATCACAGAAGTAATTGAAGTCACAATCTCAACTGATTTTGGTAATAGTAGTTGAATGTTGTACGCAGTAGGTTATTAATAGTGGTATTAGCAAGAAAAATGTTGACATGAGAATGACTTACATCAGAACGAGATTTAATCCTATGAAAAATAATGGACTTTTTGGACTTCACTATAGTGGCCTGCATCTATGTAATGTGTATATCAACTACGCAATGGTATTTGTTCTAAACAATCAAAAAATAGATATCCAAAGTTCATATATGTTGTCTTTGTGGCAAGATTATGGCCTTAATGGCAGATTTATATAGCCTACGTGACAAAGACATGCTTTAGTGGCGGATTTGTACAACGTATGAGAAAATACATGCTTTAGTGGCAGATATGCATGGCCTTTGCGACGGATTCCATAGGTGATGTGGCATATACATGCCTTAGTGGCGCATTTATATGGGCTAGTGGCAGAACTTGTTGATGTGGACGAAATTATCAATGTGTCTGAGTGAAGTGTAATGGTGGTATGGCAGATTGACCGAGTGATGGCAAGATGACACCTACTCTGATTAACCAAGATTGCATTTTTTGTGGGTTGCATTGGTGGCATAGTTTGTGTGGTCAAAGTTTATTCCATAAACGTCTATAGTTTGGCTTGGCTGTTTAGACTGGGTCAATAAATTATATAATTCATTGCACTTAATCAATGTGGCCAGTAATGCTCTACAACTATCCAAATTTGCGGACAAAATTTCTAAAAGGTGGGGAGGGTGTAACAGCACATTTCAGGGACAATTGGGTGATGACCAGCATTGGAGAGGTCAATTAGTAAATGAACAATATATGAAATTTAATTCTAGAATCAAAACATTTTTATGGAAAATTCTGGGAAGACAATTCTGGTGAAGGAAAAGGTAATGATACAAATTGTGGACTGAAGTCGAATAAAGGTCCAGATCTTTTCTGCAAGTTTCTAGGATAATCAAGGAAATAAAGTGAATGAAGAATAAGGACGAAGTGGCATATGAGTGTGACCCTTAGCAGATGGGTGTGACCTTGTCCCTGTACTGGTGTGTAATGTGTTAGATGGGTATTTCAATAGCAATGAGTCATGATATAGACAAGCATATAAAACATAAAAGGATGAAAATAAGGGCAAATAGGATGCCCAAGAAAAGGGGTGATTATAGAACAAAAGGATGGAGAGATCAGAGAATAAGAATAGTTCTTTGTCAAAGCAGGGGATTACTCGTGGCAATACAAAGCCAATTTTTGTAAGAAATAAGGGGGAAATGGAATGTTACAACAGGGACCTATTATTAGCAATTGTCCTATAGGTAATAAAGAGTTAGACGTGATCAAAGGTGAACGTGGCTTATCAATAGTCAGCAAAAAGGGTAGACATGAAAGGTGAATTGGGAAGGATTGCAATTTTTGGAGAAGCAAGTTAGAGGCAAAAGTCAAAGCCATATAGCAGGAAGAGGAAGTAATAACAGTAAATTCTTCCACAAAATGGCACATGTCCATAGGATCCTGAACCACATGGAGAGAGTGCACCATGATGGGAAGCACCTAAGTAGAGGACGTCAGGAATGGGATTCTGTGGTCTAATGAAATAGCATGCTGAGCTGAGAGTGTGATAGGCCTTAGACATAACAGAGGCTAAAACTTGACTCTAACAAAGCTACACATTTTGCTGCCTCCTTTTCAATATGTCCAGAGTTAATTGGGTTGCTTGGCTTCTTTATTGGGCTGCTTGGGAGGAGGGAGGGGCATATGCCACGAGGAAGCCAAAACACTTCAGAGTTGCACACCACTGTAACTTACATGGTGTGCATGGAAGGTGAAAGGTTCACTCTTTTTTTTTGTTGTTGTAAGGAAGTAGATTTATATATCCCCAACCTGAAACACTATGAGTTAAGCTATCTTCATCCCTGGCCTAGGAAGATAATCTCTATTTCCTAAAGTTACTTTGTAGATTTAATTGATGATTTGAGTTTTAGGCTAGAGCCTCGATAGTTCTGGTCTCCATCGCAGGTACAACAACTATAAGCCCTTGTGCCTGCCAAAACCCCTCAAAAAAATCCATAAGCAAGTACATAAACAATTATCCACTTCTCAA